TGGAAGGGGTTCGAGAGTGAATCGGGGAACGAGCAAGAATGGATGGGCAGAAGGCAAAGGAAACCGAAGCGAAGCAAAAAGAAGAAAATCAGATCTTGTATCTCAGTTTACAAGGAAGAGGGAAAGGAGAAACAAGAGATTAAGGTGGATAAGAGGAAAAGAGCATCAAAGGAGCAAGGATCGAAGGAGAAGATGCCTATATTTTCTCCCGGATCCCAAAATCAGGTGGCAGGTGATTCAATCACTGACAGCGGTATTGAAATCAGGAACGGGAGTCTACGCAGAGATCTAGAGCTTTGTACTGCAGAAAGGATCTGGGCGTTTGCAAAGGAAATTGGCGTGGGAGTCCGAGACAACGAAACAGAGGTGATCCAGAGATTAAAGGAAATGGAAGATCGTGATAGGAGGCTGATCAAATCAACAAAGGTCAGTAATACTATTGTCGAGGGGAATGGTGGTATGAATTTATTATGATTTTCCTATCAATAAACATTAGAGGATTGGGGGGTGTGGGTAAAAAGAGTGGAGTCAGAGATCTAGTTGTGAAAGAGAAAGTAGAATTTTTGGCCATTCAAGAGTTGAAGCTAGAAATGGTTGATTATCAAGTGTGTAGAACTATATGGGGTGCAGACAACTTTGACTGGGTAGCAAAGGCATCTAGAGGAACGTCTGGAAGGTTAATATGTATCTGAAACAGCGACTTACTGAAAAAAGAAAGTATAATTGAAGGTGAGAGTTTTGTGGGAGTTTATGGTTTTTGGGGGGTCTCAAAAATCCCTGTTCGTATATTGAATATATATGCTCCTTGTGATATGCCTGGTAAAAGACTTTTGTGGTCCAATATTATAGAGTTGATGTCAGAAGTGGGTGGATGTTGGTGTCTGATGGGTGACTTTAACACCATTAGAAATGTGCAAGAGTGGAATGGAGGGAGATCCAATAGAAGGGATATGGTAGAATTTGACGAGTTCATCAGGGAATGTGGCTTAATTGATCTCCCTCTGATTGGCCGTAAGTACACATGGTATCAACCCAACGGAGCAGTTATGAGCAGGCTGGATAGGTTTTTGCTGTCAGAGGATTGGTGCCTTAAATGGGGAGATATCAAACAATGGGGGCTGAGAAGAACGAAATCAGATCATTGTCCAATTTTGATGAAAAATCTTTCAATTGATTGGGGTCCTAAACCATTCCATTTCTTTGATGTGTGGCTAGATTTACCAGGGTGTATTGATCTTGTAAGGGAGGTGTGGAGTGCGACAACAACCTCAAGTTGGCATGGTTATAAATTAAAAGAAAAGCTGAAAGAAACAAAGAAAGCACTGAAAGTATGGAGTAGAAACATGGCTTCAGAGACAGATTCAATCATCAAAAAATGTGAAGACTCCATTGCTGCTATTGACTTAAAAGGCGAAGTGACTTCTTTGACTGAAGATGATATACAGACAAGGAGG